CTGGAGTTAGATCCCTGCAGAGGCCATTTCAAAAGGTATTTGGGGGGATTCAGCCGTCCCTGAAGGGATTTTTTTACTTCTTGGATTTTTCTGCAGTCACAGGAGGTATACTCACTATGTAGGAAAAGCTGTTGGGGCAGAGTGAGCTTCCTGTTAGTGGAAATAAGTATCCGCACACGGCGCCCTCTGTTGGAAATTAGATATATAGATGTTGTTTTAAATTGTTGTAAGCCGCCCTGAGCCGCTTCGGTGGGAGGGCGGGGTAAAAGTCACAAGCTCTGGCACAGCTGTCCTTGAAAAAGAGCAGTTTGTGTCAGAGTTCTCTCAGCCCCACCCACCTCACAGGGTGTCTGTTGTGGGGAGGGGAAGGGAAAGGAGTTTGTAAGCCGCTCTGAGACTCCGAGTGAAGGGCGGGGTATCAATCCAATCTCTTCTTCTTCTTCTTCTAAACAAACAAACAAACAAATAAATAAATAAAATGCATACACCCACAGAAGGAAGCATTGCCACGCAATGTAGTGGTTTGGTGTAGTGATTAAGTGTGCGGACTCTAATCTGGGAGATCCGGGTTTGATTCCCCACTCCTCCACTTGCACCTGCTGATGTGACCTTGGGTCAGCCACAAGCTCTGGCACAGCTGTCCTTGAAAAAGAGCAGTTTGTGTCAGAGCTCTCTCAGCCTCACCTACCTCACAGGGTGTCTGTTGTGGGGAGGGGAAGGGAAAGGAGTTTGTAAGCCGCTCTGAGACTCCAAGTGAAGGGCGGGGTATAAATCCAATCCAATCTCTTCTTCTTCTTCTTCTTCTTCTGTGCTGTGTATATAAATAATGCAACCATTTGGGCAGGGCCCCTCACTTGGGTCTTTCTGAGGATGCCAACTGGGACAGTCAGCCTTGTTCCCGTGGTTAAAATTTCCTTTGCAGCTGCATGAGAGAGCACCAAATGGCACGAGAGCCAGTGTGGTTGAGCAGTTAGAGTGTTCGTCTAGGGTCTGGGAGATCCACGTTCAGATCCCCATTCGGCCCTGGAAGCCTCCTGAGGGACCATGGGCCACTCATGGCACTGTCAGCCTAACCTACATGACGGGGTTATCCAGATAAAATGGAGGAGAGGAGAACGATGCAAGACTGGGTGTCACAAGTACATCTGTTAGCGCACGCAGGGTATGTTCGACGCTCCATTTGGGAACAGCCCTTCCGCTGCAACTGCCGAAATATTTTTATCAACTGACAGTTCCAAAACTAAGAAGAGCTTTTACTTTGGCAAGACTGAACGTTCTTCCCTTGGCGGTTTTGGAGGGCAGAGATAATAAGAGTATCATACTCTAATAGCACATGCAGATGCTTGTATGATACAATTGAAACCATCGAACATACGATTATGGAGTGCCCTATATTCAATGAGTATGAGGGCTGATTTAGTCACCCCTTTACTTAAAGATACGGAATTGCTAAATGTACGAGCCCAGGTGTCATGGCTACTATCGGATACAAATGATTGTGTCACCCTCTCAGTGGCAAAAGTCATAGGCGCAACGATCAAATATAAGAGAAATAATACTGAGTAAGGTCTTCTAAAATATTTTTTGGTTCTAACTTCTGCTTAAGGAGATAGCTGTATGAGCAGTATGAGATAGATAGATATACAGACAGACAGAACGATGTAAGACACCTTGGTTCCCTGTTGGAGAATGGTGGGATAGAAATGAAATGAAATGAATGTGTCAGAGGCGTCTGTGTGGCTTCATATGTAAGTGTAAAGCAGGTCTTATGTGTCTCCTTTATATTGTTATGATCCAGATAATTACACTAGGCTTCCCCAAGGAATTTGACTTACACAGTGGGATTTTTTTTTAAACTTGTATTCCTGCTTGAGAGCAAATTGTTTTATCGTTAGCCTCCTGTAATTACATTAGTTTACTTTCTGTGAACTATAATAGCTTCTGATGCGGTTTGCCTCTTGTGAAGTTGCTCTCTCTTCTTCCATGTTAGCTGTTGAGAGTTGGCCTTACGGAGGATTAAAAGAGCCAAGGGTGGTTGAAACGACAAAATGGCTGCCTACTTATTCCAAGGGTGAGTGCCTCTGTCTTCTTCCCCTTGCAAGTTTTAAGAAGATAGTTATTGAGATGTCATATGGCATTAATGACTGCAGTTTCATATGGCTGTCAGTTAGTGAAAGAATTGTTTAGTTGATTAATCATCCTCTTTTTAATCAAGTTGATTAATTAAAATCCACATAGTACCAAAATCTCAATGTTAAGTACAATTTTGAGATCTTAGTTAATAAACAGAAACAATCACTCATGCATAGAACAAATATTTTAATTTTTTAAAACGTCTGTATTACAGTATAGCACAGTCAAAATGACTTAAAAATAAACATTTCAGTTTCACAGGTTAAAATTTCCTCTCATTAATCCCAGTCAGCCCCTGCAGATCTGAAATTCTCATCCTGCAGTTAGTGTTGCTAACACTTTATACCCCACCATTTATAATATTTATGGTTATATATATAGGATTTTTATTGTGGGTATTGTTGTTTTCTGCTTTGGGATTTCAGTCAGAGGGAAAGGCAGGTTACAGTTGTTATGGAATGAGCAATATAAATCACAGGTATTCCATTCCTGAAGGTGTATTTGCATGGTGGTCCATGCTAATCCACAATGTTGACTTGTGACCAATGAAAAGTCAGAGCAGATGTGGAGTTGCTGCAACTGGCTTCCAGTTTTAAATTCTGGTGTGTACTAGGAACAGGAACATACCATTTTAAAAAGCACAGCTCTCAGCGTAGTGTGCCAATCCTAAACAGAGTTACACCCTTCTAAATCAGTTGAAGTCAGTGGTCTTAGTATGGTGTAACTCTTAGGAGTGTACTGTAAATTGGAGGTATTAGGGCTTGATGGGTGAGTGTAGCCTAATTTAAATTCTCATGAACTAGTCTTACTAAGTACCTGCGGATGGCGGGCAAACTCCTGGTAATTGTTGCCGGTGCCTGCTGATGCTCATCTGGATGGTGGGCAGAAGCAGGCTGGCAAAACAGTGGAGGGTGGGAGCAGTCTTTGTCGCTGTGTAATGATGTCACTTCAAGCACAACCCAGAAGCACCAGCATCACACTGGGGCAACACTCTAGCAGTTGCCACAAATGAGTGCTAGTCACCCTGGTATGAATGCCGGCATTTCTGTGTCATGCCAGAAGTGATGGCATTGTGCGGCAACAAAGATCACACAGAAACCCCTGCGGTAAGCACCTGCTGCCCCCCATATCCTGCAGGTTTCCAGGCCTTGCCTAGCAGCCCTACTCATGAACTCTTTTTTCAAGACAGTGGCATGCATAATAGTCTAGATTAGTGCTCCCTGCTTCGATGCCTAGCAGCCTAACACTGGGGGCCATAACCTCAAAGAGAAGTTGCCCTGTGGCAACAAGTCATAAGGGGTCCAAGACGAATGATGGGCCGCTTACCGTGGACCACGGTATGAGAATCACATTCCTGTGAAAATAGTGGCATGTTATACAATTTGATGCCAACAAATATATTTTTGAATAAAGTTTTAAAATCATATTTTCAAGTAGATTGTGGACACCCTCCTTTAATACCCGACTCTGAAATGAAGTGGGATAAGACCTCTCGGCTGGGAAGTGTTGTGGAATACAAATGCAACAAAGGTTTCTACGCCACAAGCCCGAAAACCCTTTCTTACTGTAGCCATAGTGGATCATGGGAAATCCTGGATCTAAGATGCAAAAGTAAGCATATAATGAAATATTCATTTAAGACAAGCTATAAGCCTTTTTTTTTTGGCATGTTTAATGTGATATTATTGACAGTTTTTCTCCTCTTTACACGCGAGCATGAGATTTTTCAGAAGCTAGTTGCTGGAATCAATTGTGGAAATTTGTTTAATTGATGTGATTGATTAGTTGACTGAATTGTTGGTATATAATTGATTCACTTTTTGCAGAGTAATCAACTAATTGATTGGATTTATCGATTCACTTTGACATGATTCACCTGTGTATCTAGGGCTGGAGAAAGAATCACTTCCACTGTCTCTTACAAAGTACAGTGTGAGTCTTTTGTTTTGCCACTAATATATGTAGGTCAGGAAACTGCCATGTGCCACAGCAGTCTAATTAATATATTTTTGGCAAGAGAAACATATGCGCTGAACTTCCTATAAGATAGTGTACATTAAAGAAATCCAAGAAGAGTTTTGTTTACATATACAATTCAGCCCTCATGCAGCACTGCATACATGTCACACTAACCCCACCTCAATTCTGTACCAAATATAATCATAGTTCTGAACCAAAAGAAAACAAAATTCTGAGGCCCATATACAGTATGAAAAGTGAGCTAATTTACATCATCCCTTGCTTTGCATAATGCATTTTGCAATTGATTTGCATAATTTATTCCTCTAGCAATGGGCATTGCTCTGATCACTGGAAACTTATTCAGCAACTTCTCTGGCTTCTTATTTAGCAGGCATTGTTTACACACAGTTACAGTGATAAGGAAACCATGGCGTTTTCATTTTTAGCAGAACAGGTTCTCAGGGGAAGTTAAATTCTTGGCCCAGTGCTATCTTCTACATTTTTTTCTGCACTGCAGAATTACAGCAGTCATTAGGCACTTGGGACTTACGGGGAGGTAAGTCCTACTTATTTTTTGGACTTTTAAGAAAACATCACAGAATTGGGGCTGTCTTGTCATGTGTCAAAATACCAATGAAGCAGTTTGGGCTATAGAATATATACAAGGATTTTAAAAGAACTGACTTGAACCTTTGTCTTCAAATTGACAGGTTGTTCATTCTGTTAAGTCTGCCTTTGCCTGTGAAAAAGGGACGTACCTAGAGTGTTGCAGTAAAGAATGATTACAGCATTTCCCCTAAGCTGCTCTCATAATTAGAAAGGCATTTTAAAGGAGGAGTTCAGTATCTTTGTGTTTCATTGTTATGTTTGCAGTTCTCTTTAGCAGCCCCAGAGGACTTTCACATTGAACAAAATTTCTTGTTTCTATTTTTATCTCTGCAATGTTGCCTTTAGATTAATGCAGATTAATATAATAGGTCGATGTAACTCAATTAAAAAAAATTATTCTGCTTCACAGAACTAGTTCTACAAGACTTCCGAACATTTTTCCCTTACGACCAAAGGGACAGCCAAGTCTTAATTAAAATGGCAGGAAAAAGTCAATAAACCTCCCTGGAGAATATGGCTAAGAGCTGAAGTGTTGAGCAGAGTGTTCTATAGGTTTTAATTTCCCTTTCAAGTGGTGTCTTCTGAAAAGGGCTTCCTCCAGCTTGGATGATACTACCAAGCAGTGCTCCATGAGGTGTAAGACAAAGGCAACGCCCTCCCCCCCCATGCACCCAGGCAAATGCAGGGTGGATCAGGCTGTCAGCACTTGTTAGCCATGATAGCTCTGTCTCCAGAGCAGCCTCTTAATAATAATTATAACTGGGGCAGCATTTTGCCTTCAAGGTCTGCTCATGGGCCTTCAGAAGCAGCTGGCTGATCAAATCCTGTTAAAAGGGTGCTGGATTAAATAGACATTTAGTCTGATCCAGCAGGACTCTTTTCTTCTTGCATTTGTCCTGTTCCCAGGTTCCCAGCCTATGTATTTTGGTAGCCTGATTCCATTTCCACTCTGTGTTGCTTGCTTTATTGTCCAAAAGCCCCTTTATTCAGTTAGCTAGAAACACAGTGGAGATATGGGTACTGGAATAATTACATTTAAAAACTGTACTGTAAAAAAATAGTTATGTATATGAGGTTTTAATTTCTCGTGCTTCTTGAAAATAGTGGTGATATCCTACTGTCTGCATGTATAAGGCGCATGGGTTTTCCCCATGTTCATCTCTGTTACTTGCGGCAGCTCTTTCCGACGCCTCAGAAAGATCATTCATGGGGTTGCAAGATCTTTGCAGAGGGACAGCAGTGAGGATCAGGGGGTCAGAGCAGGGAGATACAAGAGGGGGAAATGCCTTCTTGTCTTGGTGGTGTTGCACATGTGAAACAGGAAGGAGGCGCTATTTCACCTCCTTATCCCTCCTTCCGTCAGCCTCCCCAGCCTGCATGGCTGCTCCTTGACACAGGTTCCACAGCTAGGGAAATGATCTTTCTGGGGGTCTGAAAGAGCAGCAGCCATGAAAAGGACCATGGAGAAACTATACCTTCTGTGCACAGAATGGTAGAATACTGGCCCAGTGTACATAAAAATAAGTAGAAAACATAAAAGCCAGAATAAAAAAACACACACACATGCATGCACACGTTAGTACAACCTGCAAACCCTAAGGAGAAATCAAACTTGTCAAACTGGCCTTGCATAACATCTTCTTCATTGTAGAACTCCCACGGTGTGAACATATACACAGACTTTGTCTTACCTTTGACTCTGGTGAAAAAGATTTTGCAAGACTTTTGCATGAAAATAAGCAGTAAGGTGAGCAAACACACCAGGAACAATGAAGTTTCTCTCAGATTATTTTCAGCACACTGAGGGAGGGAAAATCCTCTGTAGCCTTAAAGCTTGCTCTGCTTACTCACAAGACAGAGATTGGTATCAGTCTGATGGCCATAGGCATGGCAACTGAGCATGCTCCAATACCATAGATCATGTTGTGTACAAGCAAGTGAAGGCTTGTGCTGTTTTTGCCAACTGTTGCCATCATAACCCGGTAACCTAGAGAGTATCTTTTGAAAATACGATTACATGAGGAAGATGATCAGCAGTGATTGTGTAATATGTTGTTTCACAGTGAAGTGAGTGATTGTAGTGTACACTTAAAGGACAATTAAAAAATAGAACACTGAACCTTAGAGTCATAAGGCTAATGCAGTTGGGTAATTTGTCAGTTCGGGAGGTGAATGTGATTAGTTTGTAGGTCAGTTAATAACTTCCGTTCCAGTCTCTACACACACTTCCGTTCCAGTCTACACACACACACACACACACACACACACACACACACACACACCCAAGACTGTGAATTAGGATTGCGGTGGTGAGGGGATTTAGGGGGCATTCTGGGGTGGGCTGTATTCCCAAGTAGATGTGCATAGGCTTGCATAGTATTTATGTACCCAGAAGTTACATCATCACATTGGGGATGTCGCACAACAACTTCCCTGTTTGGGGGTGGGGTTCCCCTGCTGGCCACCCTGGGACCTGGCAACCCTACTATGAATTAACTTCTGTGCACCCATGATCTGCAGTCAGAAGATGAGGTATCCAGAGTTCACTACCGCATAGGTGTATGTGTGAAAGTGTTCCTTGTTAACTGTGCACTGTCACTGAAACTCTGGTGAACTGTGTGAGGACAACATGTAATTTACAAAACAATATTATGCAGCATGGAGATGTGGAATGGTATAGTATAACTCCATTTTATCAGAACTCAGAAGCTATGCAGAGTCGTTACTTGGATGGGAGAGCACTAAGGAAGATTTTGCAGAGTAAGGCAATGGCAAACCACCTCTGCTTAATCACTTGCCATGAAAACCCTGTGGGGCCGCCATAAATAGGCTATGACTTGACAGCACTTTACACATACATTATGCAGCATGGTTAAATATTTATTTATTTATTTATTTATTATTCACATTTTTATCCCGCCCTCCCCGGAGGCTCAGGGCGGCTGAAATAAAAGCTGAAAAATCATCCAGACACAGCATACAGGTAAGTTCCGAAAATCAACAACAAAATAATTCTTACCCTTGTATAGTTAAAGTAAATAGTAGTAAATATATAATATTAACATAGTAAATATATTGTCAATGCAATACTTTTGATCAATACCACCTGAGAATAAGTGAGATAGGAACAGACAGGGGAATGTTTCTACAAACCTGGAAACCCCCAACTTTGCAGAAAAATCTTAAACGTAAAAAAATAAAGGAAAGGAAATTAAAACTCCTTTAAAGTGCTGAAATCTTCCTTATGAGATCTTTGCAGCCATTTTGGATTGCTTAGGCAACTGCTGTTGCCCAAGTAATCCAAAATGGCTGCCACAGTATGACTTTGAAATTGGAGTTGAGTGAGGCCAAAGAAGAAATAATCAGGCAGGAAAGACCAAGTTGAGGAGAGTGAAGGTGAAGGAGGAGGAAGGAAATAAAGGAAAATGGAACAAAAAGAGGGGGGTAGGGAAAAGAGGAAGGAAGAGACAGGTGGGGCAAATTGAGAAGGGTAAATGAGAGGCAAGGCATTCAGGACAGGAGAGAAACAGTGGGGGCTGTGTACCTGAGGGAAAGGTAATTTAAGGTGGGGAGAAGGCCAGTGGGAGACTTCTCATATGTTCCTTGCTTGGTGCTTGGTGCAGATTACAGAATGAACTAAACAGCATATGTTGGTCTTTCTGGGTATGGCGCACACGCGCTTGTGAAACAGTGTTGGCCTGCATGCAGCAACATTACAGACCAGGAGAGAGGAATGCCAGCTTTCTCTTGGCGTTCTCCAAGAAAGCTCAGAAAGAAGAGGCCATTTAATGAACTGAGATGAAGGCAGTTTTGCCATCACTCTTTAAGATCTTACTAGTTAAATGAGAAACTGTTTACATGCAGTAATTTAGTTTTGGAAGATGTACAGGGGAGTCCTATGCAGTGTTCCCTCTAAGCTGAGTTAGTGTGAGCTGGCGCACAGTTTTGTAGCCTCCGGCTCCAGAGCAAACTAATCTATGCAGCAGCCAAATCGCTCGCTGACAACTTTAATGCCAGGAGCTCACAAAGTGGAATTTTTGCTCACGAGACTCCACCGCTTAGAGGGAGCATTCGTCCTATGTATGTGTATTCAGAAGCAAGGCCTCTGTATTTGGTGGGATGTACTTCCAAGTCCATGTGCATAGGCTTGCGTAGTAATACATAAGATTGTGTTTTAGGTCACTAGTTACAGATGGGATGAGATAACAAGGCTGCCCACTGCCACTGGAGAGAGAATTTATGTACCGTGGAAAAAAGAGAGAGCCTTTTTGGTCTGATCTTATTCAAACTCAAGTCATCTGATAACGTGTTTAATTGCTTGGAGAAAGGCACAGGTTGGATGCCAGCCTTCAGAGAACCTGGTTAGTCAGATCAAAGAGATTTAGCTCCACTACGATAAATGATGGTCTAGATTTTTATCCAGCTTGCTTGTTCAGCTTTGTGTGTATGTGTGTTCATGTGTTTACAATATAAGTTAATAATTGTAAGATTTCTAACCTAAATGATCAAACTTTCACAGAGCAAGGGCTTTCTCCTGCTGTGTAGAAAGTCATGCCACGTTTTTAGTTTACTTCAGACTCCCTTTACCTCATGCTATGATTAATCTTTCTTTCTTTTGAACAGTGTCACTGTTGGGACTCCCACCCACTGCCTTTGGCAGTCAGTTTTAGTCCTTTTATTATTTTAGCCTGATAGCTTCCTGGTGGATTTTTAGACCAAAGAAAGCAGTAAATCATTAGCTCAGTCTTTGTTTCTTCTCGCATGAACTTTCCACTTAACTGTTTCTGTGAGAGAATTTCTGGTATATTTGGAGGGGGGGTGGCTGGCATGTTTTAGCTACTTCCTCTAAGCATCCAGACTGAGTTCTTACAACTTTAATAGCTGCACATAGAAGGAATAACTCCAGCAGCGCTTCAGGGGAAGGCAAAGAAGTACCTGTTGAAATTTTCATGTCGGTACAATTGTTGAACCCTACTATCAACACTGGTGTGTGTGTGTGAATTTCTACTCTGGTTGTCTTTTTTGGGGGAAAGTGGCTCTACAACTTTGTCTTTTTAGGATATGGTCACCTGCGCAATGTCTCCACTTACACCTACAGTTTTTTCCAATAAGTGTTTTTTATTTTGAACAATATATACAACAGTACATTCATAACATATATTGCAAACAAAATGTACCTTGAATACAAATGAACCCAGAAATCTACTGATGTTGACTTTTGGGGGGTGCTTATTTTACCCACACACATAAATCATATTTAGAGTTTTAAAAAGCACCACACAAGTCTTTTCCTTAGAAAACAGCTTTCTAAAGTCCTTTGGAGATATACTGCCTTACCTGATAATGTGAAGAACATTTACCTCACTACAGAGAAATATATTCTTGGGGAACTAACCCCCCCCCCCAAGAAACTGTGCAATAAGTGTTATGAATGCTGTTATTTTCTGCCTCATGTGAAAATATGTTTTCTGGCTCCAGGTATTTGGTTACTGTGAAACACAATGCCATATAAAGGATAGGTCTGTTAGAGGCTGCTAGCTGTGATGACTAAACCAGCACCTGGAGGCAACATCAGGGGAAGGCCTCAGCCTCTGTGCCCTGTTGTTGGAGCTCCAGAGGAACTAATTGGCCACTGTGCGAGATAGGATGCTGGACTAGATGGACCACTGGTGTGATCCACAGGGCACTCCTTGTGTTGTTAATGTCTTCGACCACCACACACACACACACACACACACACACACACTTTTTCTACCCCAAGATAACATTTGAATTTGATTTGGGGGTATGAATATATCTCAGAATACAATATGTAGAAGTTTTTTTCAGCATATGGTAGCAGTGTAATGGGAAGCGTCAGTCTTGTACCTTTAACACTGTCTTGGAAGTCTCCACGCTAAACTGTGCAGCATATACTTATAATAAATTCAGAGTGCAGGCCTCAAGGCCCACATAACTTGTGACACACGAAGGCAGACACAGCCCAGCAGTCAGATGTGGTGGTCACAGGGGCTAGATTCCCTGCTTGTCTGGCCCTGCAACAATGAGGCATCATCATGGTCTGTGGCAGGCCATATTGCATGGCTGGTGGGCTGCTTTGGAAATACTGGGTCACAGACTATGAAGATCTGAAAACATAACTAACAATAAGCATGCCCAGGGGTCATTTCCTGCGGGAGCACACAGAAGCGGAGCTCCGGCAGTAAAGAGCCCAGGGGGCGGGCACATGCAACAACCCCCGCCCCCTGCTCCCAGCAGCCCCGGGCCAAGAGGAGCAAGAAGCAGCCAGGTAAGTTGCAGTGGGTGTTGCCTTCTGACACACTTCCGGTGATGTCAGGGGGTGTGGCATATGCAAATAAGTTATGCTAATGAGCTCCTGCACCTCTTTTTCTACAAAATGACCCCTGAGCATGCCCCTCGCAAAGGAGAGAAGAAAATGCTTGGAGAAGGTAGCAGGACTTGCAAAATTAATGAAGTGGTACCCTTCTGGTTAAACCTTTGTCTTGTTTAATGGTTTAAAAAATAATTTAAAAAAGATTTGGCAGGTTTGTTTAGACAAATGTGGGAATTACCATTAAAAGCCCATTGTGGCATTTTAGAAATAATGAGTTGGCTGGGGTGTGCCTAAATTAAATACAGAAACAAGCTATCAGGCTAGTGAAAGATGAAGGTGTTTTGGGGGGAGTTTTCTTAGGTCAAGTTAATTTCCAGGTCAGTATCCAACAAGTTTGCTATACTCATCCATTTTGCAACAACCCTTATTTCTTGCATGTCATTGTGCACCACTGGGAAGTATTTCGTAAGCTGTACTGGTATCCTACCACACATTCACACACTGTTCTCAGCTCTTTACCATCTGAGGTTTTTGGTTTCTGCTCAGCTGCCCTCTCCCTCAGGGATCTTTGAGGCCCCCCCAAACCAGTTTTGCACTCAAACAGAACAACAGTGGCATCCAGTGGCCTTCTTCAGTAACAGCATGCGTAAGGAGAATATGATGGTTATGGCTGAAATCAAGATAGGTAAATATAAATGAGGTAGGAATAGGAACTAGGGGTCGTAGTTCAGTGATGAAGCATCTGCTTTGCATGCAGAAGGTCTCAGGTTCAAACCCTGGCACCTCCAGTGCAAACGATCAGGAAGTAGACAATATGAAAGACATCTAGCTGAGACCCTCGAAAGCCTCAGACAGTTAAGGTAGGCAAACATAGACCTTGATTGGCCAGTGAAGCGAGTCAGTATGTGTGTGTTCATGGATGTATGAGCCACACAGGTGCAATGGTTTGCCTCATTGCAGAGCCTATATGGGCCAGTGGTATTACACATAGCTCCTGAATGCAAGATTCCTCATTAATTTTGTTGAATACACATAACAGTCTTTTGGGTTAAAGAAAAGTATGCCCTGGTGTGTGAAGCAAAGTTTCATGCAAGAGCTGTGCCAAGAAGAGATTGTGAGATCGAGCAATTATTTTCATGTAGCAGTAGCAGCAAGGATGAGGTGGTGTTGTCCTTTTGGCAGGTGAAAGTTTTTTTTTTTAAGTGCTTTAAAGTTAAGCATTTCCTGTGTTAATTTATCTTTCTTGAATTCTTTTACTCACTATGACCTTTGCTGAACAGTGAAATATATTTGATTATGATAATGTCTGGTAGCTGAGAAGATGTTCTTAAGCTCTCCCAGCATTCAAGAAATAATCTTCTTAACCATTTCATTGCCTGCTCTGGTTCTCTCTGCCTATAATATGTGTGTTATGTTTGATCATGTGACATGAGATGCTGGAACAGAAAGAAGGAACCATCTCTCCTCTTTCAAAGCACCAATGGCTAAAGGCACAATTCGTCATGTATTGCTTGAAAAAAAAATGTTCACAATTCGTCATGTATTGCTTGAAAAAAAATGTTTGTTGTTTGTTTTTTTGCAGAAATACAGCCATTTATTGATTTTGCAGTGAACAATTCTTGTTTGACATGGAGGAGGCAATATGAAAGTGATGGTGTAAATGAAACTTACAGAGTAAGTCACACCTGGGATGTGGGGTGGGCATACTGTATGTATAAGAGATTATTTTAAAATTGTGGCTGAATAAAAGTGGTCTCTAAAGCCACTTGACTTTTTTTAAAAAAATCAATATTTTTATTTGATTTTATATCAGCCTGTCTCATACATACTAACCAAGTCAACCACAAGATTACATAAAGATCCTATACCAACACTTATCTTTACCATCAGCACAGAGTAATGTACAAGTCCAATTACCGTACATTCCCATTCATATTTTAAGCATATCTTCCCTTTAAATATCTCATCTGTGTTGAGTAAAACCTACTAATACAATTTCCTTAAAGAATACTTGCTAACTTTTCAGAAATCGATTACAAAATTTCTATCCATAATATAGAACCTTCCCACTATCTTGTTGTTCTTAATCTTAACTTTACATCCATCCTCCTGTAATCTGCTGACTCTTTGTTTTATATTTTACTCATTTTTAAATCCCATTTCTTTTAATACACTTTTTATTTTTCCTGTCCGCCTTTACATTCTTTAAATTCATAATTCTTCTCCTGAATGCCTTTATAGAATATTTAACTAGAGGGTTTGCTATTCTGTTTTGGGACTTAAGTTTTTACATTTTATTAGTACCATTATCTTTCCGTTATTAGTCTACCTGGACTCTTCCTATCTCTGTTCCACCATATTTAAACTACAACCACCATCTTTAATCTGCTATCGCCATACCTCCTACAAATCTGTTACAATGAAGTCTATTTACCTCCCTCCTTAACCTTCTAATATCACTCCACACCTATAAATATTTACCATTATCATAATCGAGTCAAATCATTCAATTATATTAAAACTTATTCCATTAGTATACCAATTCATTATGTAATCACTCTTACAGTCATGATTTCCATTCTATTTTATAATCATTTGATTAATAACCTTTATATTACTATTATCATCCCCCTCAATTTCTATTCAATCATGATTTCTTACCAATTTAAAACCTTAATACATAACTTAAATTGT